TGGACCCATAACTAATAAGCAAACCAACAACTGATAATAAAATAAGCTTTCAACAAAGAACAGTACAATTAAAGGCATCACTGACAAATTATACAAAATACTTTAAGAATTTACCTTCTCAATTCAATTTCAAAAAATTGAAGAGGAAAGCATACTTCTTAACTCATTCCATGAGGCCAACATTACCCTTATACCAAAAGGCAGACAAACACAGGAAAGGGAAAGAAAACTATAATCAATTAAAACTTTCTCAGCATTATTAGGACACATATGAATGACCCACAGCTAACATCATAATGATAACACACGGAAACCTTTCCCACCGAAAATAAGGAACAAGACAAAATAATGAACAAAGATGGTAACTTTGACCACTTCTATTCAAGTACAAGTTGTTGCCAGGCAGTCATGCAAGAAAAAGAAATAAAAGGAATCCAAATTAGGAAAGGAAGTAATAAAACTATCTCTGTTCACAGATGATATGATTTCATATGTAAAAAACTTCTAAAAATTTCCCCCAAAATATTCACCAAAAACCAAAAAGGTCTTTAATTAAAAAAATTCAGCAAAGTTGCAGGATATATAATTACCACAGAAAAATTAGCTGCACTTTATATACTAGGAATAAACAAACTGAAAAGGAAATTTTAAAAAAATGCTCATTTACAATAATGTCAAAAGGAACAAAAACAGGTATAAATTTACAAATATTTGTATAGTGAAAACTACTGAAACTGCTAAAAGGAAAGTAAGGACATAATTGAAAGACATTCCATTTTCATGGATTGGAAGAGTTAATATTGTTAAGATAATACAACTCAAAGCAAAATACAGATTCAATGCAAAAGCTCAATGGCATTATTTTCAGGACCACAAAAATGCATTTTGAAACTTCATATGTGATCAAGAAACAACAAAGAAAAAAATTTGAACGGCCGGTGCCGCGGCTCAATAGGCTAATCCTCTGCCTTGCAGCACCGGCACACCAGGTTCTAGTCCCGGTCGGGGCGCCGGATTCTGTCCCGGTTGCCCCTCTTCCAGGCCAGCTCTCTGCTGTGGCCCGGGAGTGCAGTGGAGGATGGCCCAAGTGCTTGGGCCCTGCACCCAAATGGGAGACCAGGAGAAGCACCTGGCTCCTGCCATTGGATCAGCATGGTGCGCCAGCCGCAGCGCACTGGCCGCGGCGGCCACTGGAGGGTGAACGAACGGCAAAGGAAGACCTTTCTCTCTGTCTCTCTCTCTCTCATTGTCCACTCTGTCAAAAAAAATTTTTTTTTGAAAAATAACAAATGCCAGGGCCGGCGTTATGGTGAAGTGGGTAAAGCAACCCCATGTGATGCCAGTGTCCCATTGAGCCCTGGCTCATGTCCCAGCTGCTCCACTTCTTTTTTTTTTTTTTTTAATATATTTTTATTTATTTATTTTAGAGGTAGAGTTACAGACAGTGAGAGAGAGAGAGAGAGAGAGAAAGGTCTCCCATCTGCTGGTTCACCCCCCAAATGGCCACATTGGTAGGAGCTGGACTGATACAAAGCCAGGAGCTGGGAGCTTATTGAGGGTCTCCCATGTGGGTGCAGGAGCCCAAGGACTTGGGCCATCTTCTACTGCTTTCCCAGGCCATAGCAGAGAGCTGGATCAGAAGAGGAGCAGCCAGGACTTGAACCAGCATCCACATGGGATGCCAATGCTGGAGGCGGAGGCTTTATCCTGCTACGAACAGCGCCAGCCCCCTGCTCCACTTCTGATTCAGCTCCCTGCTAATGGTCTAGGAAAAGCAATGGAAGATGGGCCAAGTATTTGGGTCCCTGCCACGTACATGGGAAACCCATATGAAGTGCCTGGCTTTGGCCAGGCCCAGTGCTGGCTGTTGCAGCCACTGGGGAGTGAAACAGTGGATGGAAGATCTCTATCTCTCTGTTTTTACCTCTCTCTATAGAGCTCTGACTTTCCAATAAATAAATAAAGCTTTTAAAAAAGAAATAAAAAAATAACAAATGATACTTCTCTACCTTGGAATTTAGCTTAGGTTTTGAATTTAGCCATCCCACTCCTTGGAATTTGCCCAAAGGAAATTAAATTGGCAAATAAAAGAGCTATCTGCACCTCAATGTTTATTGCAGCTCAATTCACAATAGCTAAGACATGGAATTAACCTATATGCCCATCAACGGAAGACTGGATAAAGAAATTATGGGATATGTACTCTATAGAATACTATACAGTAGTAAAAAAAAATGAAATCCGGTCATTTGCAACAATATGGAGGAATCTGGAAAACATCATGCTGAGTGAAATAAGCCAGTCCCAAAGGGACAAATATCATATGTTTTCCCTGATCTGTGACAACTAACTGAACACCTAAAGGAAACCAGTGGAAGTGAAACAGACACTATGAGAAACAATGACTTGATCAGCCCTTGTCCTGACTGTTGAGGAACAACTTACTATTTTCCTCCTTTTAGTATTTTTTTGTTCTACTTAATACCATTGGTTGAACTCTTTTAATTAACACACAATTATTCTTAGGCATTTAAATTTAAGTGAAAAGTGATCCGTGTTAAATATAAGAGTGGGAATAAGAGAGGGAGGAGATGTACAGTTCAGCACTTGCTCACTAGGACTTACCCCTAATGGTAGAGCTAGAAATGTGCCAGGGGATTCCAATTCAATCCCATCAAGGTGGCATGTACCAATGGCATCTTATTAGCCAAAGTGATCAGTTTAAGTTCATAATTATCATAATGATAAGATTAAGAGTCAAAGGGATCAAATAAACAAGACTAGTGTCTGCTAATAATACCTGATAGAATTAAAAAGGAAAGAACGATCCAACATGGGAAGCGGGATACACAGTAGACTCATAGAATGGCAGATGCCCAAACAGTACTCTGGCCTCAGAATAAGCCCTTATGGCATTCAGATCTGGCTAAAAAGCCCAGGAGAGTTTCTCAGGCATGGAAAGCCAAGATACTGTGGCAAAAAAAAAAAAAAAAAGAAAAAGAAAAAAAAAGGGACCTAAATGAAAGATTTCTGTGAGTGAGATCCCAGCAGAAAGAACGGGCCATCAAAGAAGGAGGTACCTTTCTCTGAAGGAAGGAGAGAACTTACACTTTGACTATCGCCTTGTCCAAATAAGATCGGAGTTGGTGAACTCAAGAGGCTTCCATAGCCTTGGCAGCTCATGACAAGAACCTCGGGTGATTACTGACGTCATAAATAGGAGTGTCAATTGTTAAATCAACAACGGGAATCACTGTGCACCCACTCTCCATGTAGGATCTCTGTCCTTAATGTGTTGTACTATGCAAATTAATGGTAAAATTACTACTCAAACAGTACTCTACTTTGTGTGTCTTTGTGGGTGCAGTCTGTTGAAATCTTTACTTAGTATATACTGAGTTGAACTTCTGTATATAAAGATAATTGAAAATGAATCTTGATGAAGAATGGGATGGGAGAGGGAGTGGATGATGGGATGGTTGCAGGTGGGAGGGAGGTTATGGGGGGAAAAGCTGCCATAATCCAAAAGTTGCAGCTTGGAAATTTATATTTATAAATAAAAGTTCAAAAAGAAAGAAAGAAAGAAAAAATAACAAGTGATACTTCTTTACAATGGAATTTAGCTTAGGTTTTGATAAAATGTGATTTTACTCTCAGAAATTATATGTGATTTCAATGTTTTAAGTATTAGGAAAACCAAAATATTTTAAATAATTTTGATTTAACAAAATTATTAAAAATCAGAGTGTTTCTAAAAATAAAACCAAAATTTCTATTCCGGCCAGATGCATGAAGTGAAACAACAGTAACAAAGAAAGTTTGGTTTAGATTCACTTTACTGAAATATTCAAAGTATAACTGATTTAAGTGAAACAGAATTCTTTCCTTCAACTATGAAAACATCAAGAAGTGCCTAAGAATAAAAATCATGTACACATAAACTCTTCGTATATATCTAACACACTACTTTATGACTTTTTTAAAAAACATTTATTTATTTATTTGAAAGGCAGAGTTACATGAGAAGGAGAGACTGAGACAGAGATCTTCCACCCCCTGGTTCAGCCTCCAAATGGTCACAACAGCCAGAGTTGTGCCAGGGCTGTGCCAGGCCAATGCCAGAAGCCAGGAGCTTCTTCTGGTCTTTCATGTGGGTGCAGGGACCCAGGGACTTAGGCCATTTTCTGCTATCCTCCTGAGTGCCCTAGCAGGGGGCTGGACTGGAAGCGGAGCAGCTTGGACTCGAACCAGTGCCCATATGGGATGCCAGCACTGCAGGTTGCAGCTTAACCTGCTGTTCCATAGCACCAGCCCCTACTTAATGACTTTAATTCTCTTTTTTGGAGGGTAGCAGTCTTTTTTTCATTTATTTTTTTAATTTGTATTCAACATATTCAGTGTGATTTGTAGATACAGTTCTAAGAACATAATGATATTTCCTTCCTCCGTCCCACCCTCCTTGGCTTTTCTTTTAGACTTTTAAGTAAATACTGATCTAGCAATCACAGTATCTTAAGTGATTAAAAAAATGTTCAGAAAACTATAATTATTACCTTAGTGCCCCTGACTCTATAAAACTTATCATGGTAATCCCATATGATCTTTAAAACTATATTTTTGGAGGCTGGCTTTGTGGTGCAGCAGGTTGGGCCATCTCATATGGGTGCCAGTTCAAATCCCAGCTGCTCCATTTCTGACCCAGCTCAGTGCTAATGCACCTAGGAAAGCAGAGCCAGGTGGCTTGAGTGCTTGGGCCCCTGTGACCCACACTGGAAACCAGGATGTAGCTCCAGGCTCCTGGCTTTAGCCTGGTCCAGCCCCAGCTATTGTGGTATTAGGGGAATGAACCAGTGGATGGAAGATCTCTGTCTCTCCCACTCTCTCAGTACCTCTGACTTTCAAATGAATGAATAAATCTTTATATATTTACATAAAAATTAACACACATAAAAATTCTACCACATGATTCTTTAAAGAGAAAGAAATAAACACGCCTTTACCTTGTAAGATGGCAAAAAACACAAAATTCCTTGGCTCACAGTCTGGCACACAGATAACACAAGTGCTCCCACTTCATCCTGGAACTCAAATGTTTCAGTATGCTGGAAGGTAGCACAGAGATTCCTACCACTGGGGCCTGATCCAATGGTACCAACCCAAAGCTGGAATATGAATATCTTAGTATTAGAGTCATGCCTAAGCAAAGCAGGAAAATTAGTATTTTGTTAGAAGCATTTACAAAGAACATAAAAAAGCAGATAAAACAACAAAATTACTGGGAAATCATTTTTAAATTGCTGGTTTTTTTTTTCACTAATAGCGTTAATTATCATATTCAAGTTAATTTAAAGAAGTTTGCATTACAGAGATTACTAAATTTTCTTAGAATAAAATTATTTGAAAGCAAAAGGGTTATACTTATCTTTACTTCTTCTGTAAGTATGCTAAGCATTTAACAATTATTTGACAAATAAGTGAACAAATGAATATTCAGATCTATATACCAATAACTAAATCAGACAAAATATTGGGGAGTGAAGGTCAGTATGAGTTCTCAATAAAACCTATTCTTAGAAAAATCCATTGTGATACATTAGTAATACAACAAACCATTACTGTCGCATGATATGATTCAAAGGGAATTAACAATGTCACATACATAGTATTCTTTCTCTAACTGTTTAACCTCAGTCTTATTCATGACCAATCAGAAAAATCCAGAGTATAAAGCCTAAAGACGACTGGAGACCTGAATTCTACAAAAACATCAGCCACTGAGGCCAATGATGTGGCACAGCCAGTTAACCTGCCACTTCTGACACCAGCATACCACACTGGAGTGTTGGTTCTAGTTCCAGTTGCTCTGCTTCTGATCTAGCTTCCTGCAAACGTGCCTGGGAAGGAACTGGATGATGGCAAGAGTACTTAGACCCTGCCACCTATGTGGGAGTCCAGGATGGAGTTCCTGACTCCTGGCTTTGGACTGGCCCAGTCCTGACTATTGCTGCCATTTGGAAAGTGAACCAGAGGATAAAAGATCTCTTTCTCTTCCTTCTGCCTTTCAAATAAATAAATCTTTTTTAAAAACTGTGGGTGCTGGGGCCAGCACTGTGGCATAGTGTGTTAAATCTCCACATGCAGTACTGGCATCCCAGTTTGAGTCCCAAATGCTCCACTTCTGATCCAGCTCCTTGCTGATGCCCTGGGGAAGCAGTGGAAGAGATGGCCCAAGTACTTAGGCCTTGCACCCACATGGGAGACCCGGAAGAAGCTTCTGGATGCTGGCTTCAGACTTGTCCAGCTCCGGCCATTGCACCTATTTGGGGAGTGAAACAGTGGATACAAGACCTCTCTCTCTGACTCTCCCTCTCTTTTTCTGTATCTCTGTTTCTCAAATAAATAATTCTTTTAAAAATAATAAAAAAACTGTGTGTGTGTGTGTGTGTGTAGGGGTGTGTGGATACATTGTGCTCAGGGAATTAAGCTGTCACCTGGATGTCTACATCGTCTATCAGAGTGCTGGTTTGAGTCTAGCTACTCCGTTTCCAATCCAGCTCCCTGATAATGGGCCTGGGAAGCAGTCAATGATGGCTCAAGTATGTGAGTTCCTGCCACCCACATGAGAGACAGGGATGGAGTTCTTGGCTCCTGCCTTCCAAACTGAGTCAGCCCTGGCTTCGGTGGCAATTTGCATAGAGAAACAGCAAATGAAAGATCTGTCTCTGTCTCTCATTCTGCCTTTCAAGTAATTAAGTCTCAATTAAAAAAAATAGGAAACATAGTAAAGGAGTAACATTTTTATTTTCACAGAAAAACTAAAACTAAAAGACCGAGGGTGTTCAAACACAGTAATAAAAACTAACCTGTGAGTTATTAATGACATGATTAGCCTCCAGTTGGATAGTAAATGTAACACCAAGTTCTGATGAAAAAGATTTCATTGGTGATAATGTGCCAGATGTCAAAACAATTGTCCTAACTTTGCCATTAATATCTGAAAAGGCCTAAAAGGAAAACAATATTAGATACATAAAATCATCTTTAAGAGTCAAACATGCCCATTTAATTGTTGGTACTGAGGAAAAAAAAAAAAACCACAAAGATTTCATTTAAAACATGATGGGCTTACCACAGCTGGATTTAAGCACCAAAAGCTTAGCACATGAACTGCAGCTTTCTGTCTTGAACGTTTGTTATTTTTTGGTAGAACCAAGATGCCATTTTTATCTGAAATATCAGTCTGATTTATCCAGGAGTAAGTCTGTTGAATAGCAATTTTATAGTCATCTGCAAACCTGAATGCAAAGAAAATGCTAATTAAATGGTAAAACTGTATCAAATATATATTTCAGTTACATACAACACAAAAACTGATTATATTAAAACTCAGTTGAGGGGGCCAGCACTGTTGCACAGTAGGTTAATCCTCTGTCTGTGGTGCCAGCATCCCATATGGGCACTGGTTTGAGTCCTGGCTGCCCCTCTTCCAATCCAGCTGTCTTTTATGGCCTGGGAAAGCAGCAGAAGATGGCCCAAGTGCTTGGGCCCCTGCAGCCATGTGGGAGACCGGGAAGAAGCTCCGGGCTCCTGGCTTTGGATCGGCGTAGCTTCAGACAATGCGGCCATCTGGGGAGTGAACCAACAGAAGGAAGTCCTTTCTTTCTGTCTCTCCCTCTCACTGTCTGTAACTCTACCTCTCAAATAAATAAAATCTTTAAAAAAAAAAGAAAAAGAAAAAGAAGAAGAAAAAGAAAAAAGTTTAAATAAAAAAAAAAAAAAAAAACAAACTTCAGTTGAGGGGCCAGCACCATAGCATAGTGGGTAAAAGCTGCCTGCAGTGCCAGCATCCCAAATGGGCACCTGTTCAAGTCCCAGATGCTTCACTTCCAATCCAGCTCTCTGCTATGGCCAGGGAAAGCAGTAGAAGATGGCCCTAGTGCTTGGGCTCCTGCCCCCACGTGGGAGACCCAGAAGAGACTCCTGGCTCCTGACTTAGGATCAGCATAGCTCCAGCCATCTCAGCCACTTGGGGAGTGAAACAGTGGATGGAAGACCTCTCTCCCTCTCTCCGTCTCTCTATAACTCTACCTTTCAAATAAATAAAGAAAAAAAATTTTTAAAAAGGATAAAAAAATCAGTATTGGTTTAAAAAAATAAAACCTCAATTGAGAGAGTGCTGGCACTTTCCCATTCAAAGATAATCCCCCACACTAATTCAGCAATTCTGATATAATTAAGCAATTAAATCACAGCATCAACCAATTCTCACAGGGAATATTAGCATTCATCTAATCACCATTCATCATCCCTCACCAGCTACTTCTCAACTCCATTTTTAAACATCATTTGGGGGTAATCATTTGAGGCAGCAATTAATAAGTTACTTGGGGCATTTGTTTCCCCTATCAGAGCACTTGGGTTTGAGTCTTGGCTCTACTTCAGATCCCAGCTTCCTGATAATGAACACCCTGGAGCTAACAGGTGATAGCTCAAGTAGCTAGGTTGGTCTCACCCACAAGCGAGATCCAGAATGAGTTGTTGGTTTGGGCCCAGACCAGCCCTGGCTGTTGTGGGCATTTGGGCAGTGAACCAACAGACAGGAGATCTTTCACTCAGTTACCCACTCACTCACTGTCTGCCTTTCAAGTAATTTTTTTAAAAAATTACACAAATCATGCCAGAACCAGAATTGAAATCCAGGCCTTGGAACGGGCAATGCGGCACAGTGGATTGAGCCACTGCTTGTGATGCCCACATCCCAGATGGAAGTGGCTGCTCTGAGACCTAGTTCATCTGCATCTAATCCAGTTTCCTGCTAATGCATCCTGGGAGGCAGCAGATGACAGAACAAGTGTTTGGGCCCTTGCCACCCATAGGGAAGATGCAGATGGAGTTCGCGCTCTTAGCTTCCGCCTGGCTCAGCCCTGGCTATTATTGGTATCCAGGGAGTGAAGCAGTAAAAAGAAAATTTTTCTCTTTTCACTCTACCTTTCAACTAATGAAGCTAAACATTACAAAAAAAAAAAAAAAATCGCAATTTCCAGTCCAAAGCTCTTTGCATTCTGTACTACATGATTAGCTATAAAACAGAAAATAGTATTGTGTTTAAAGAAACTGAGAAGTGGGTTATACTTTATCTCCTTAGAAAACAATGGTTTTGGGGGCCAGCGTTGTACCACAGCAGATTAAGCCATTGCCTATGATGCAAGCATCCCATGTTACAGTGCCAGTTCTTGTCCCAGCAACCCTACTTCCAACGCAGTTTTCTACTAATGTAACTGGGAAGGCAGCAGAAAATAGCCCAGGTACTTGGGTCCTTGCCATCCAGGTGGGAGACTAGGATGGAGCTCCTGGCTCCTGGCTTTGCCTGGTCTAGATATGGCTGTTGTGGGCATCTGGGGAGTTAACCAGCAGATGGAAAGTATCTTAATCTTAATACCTCACGGCAAGCCTTCCCTCTTCCCCTCTTTCTCCCTGTCTGTCACTATGCCTTTCAAGTAAATATATAAATCTTAACAACAATAAAAAGGAAAAAACTATTTATTTGAAAGGCAGACTTAAGGAGAGAGAGAAAGAGGGATATCCTCCATTCACTGGCCCACTCTGCAAATGGCCCTAATGACCAAGGCTGGGCCAGGTCAAAATCAGGAGCCAGGAGATTCCTTGGTGTCTCCCACAGGGGTGGAAGGGCCCAGCGTCTTGGGGGCATCTTCCACTGCTTTCCCAGGCTCATTAACAGGGAGCTAGATAAGAAGCAGAGCAGCCAGGATTCGACCCAGCACCTGTATGGGATGCCAGTGCTGTGGGCGGTGGTTAATCCACTGCAACACAGCACTGGCCCCAGAAAATAATTTAAACAAAATTTAAAAAGTGTTAGCAACTAATTATAAAAATTTAAGTTCTTTTAAAATATGGGTCTGTATCTTTTGTTTTTTTTTGTTTTTTTTTAAAAGATTTATTTATTTACTTAAAAAGGCATAGTTGGAGGGGTGGGGCAGGCAGAGATCTTCCATCTGTTGGTTCACTTCCCAGATAGCCTCAATGGCTAGGGCTGGACAAAGCTAAAGCCAGGAGCCTGGAACTCCCTCCAGGTATCTCACTTAATCCCTAGGCCAAACATCCATTCCTCTTTATATACTTTTAAAGAATGTACTGAACCAGTAGATAGATGTAGTGTCATCCAGTTCATAACTTCTTCCAAAGAGAATCTAAAAACGCATATGTTAGCAGAATAAGATGTGGTAATTCTCTACCATGTCCTCACTGTAATATTTCATTGTTAATTTTATCCTTAGAAAGATCATATATCAAATTTCAAGTCAGGGGACCAGCGTTGTGGCATAGTGGGTAGAGCCGTTGACTGCAGTGCCGGCATCCCATATTGGTGCCAGTTTGAGTCCTGGCTGCTCCACTTCTGATCCAGCTCTCTGCTATGGCCTGGGAAAGCAGCAGAGGATGGCCCAAGTACTTGGGCCCCTGCACCAGTAAGGAAGACCCGAAAGAAACTCCTGGCTCCTGGCTTCAGATTGGTGCACCTTTGGCTATTGCAGCCATCTGGGGAGTAAACCAGCTTATGGAAGAGCCCTCTATCTCTCTGTAACTCTGCCTTTCAAATAAATAAACAAATCTTTAAAAATAAAAAAATAAAACAAATTTCAAGTCAGGAACTCAACAACCATGGAGAAGAAAATTTTACAAAAAATACTGATATCCAAAAAGCATAAAACACTTTGAGGAAAACAAAGGAGAAAAGTTTTATGGTATCATATTTGGCCATGACTTATTGGCTATGACACTACAAGTACAGGCATCATAAGAAAAAATAGATAAAATGAATATAGTAAAGATTTTAAAACTTATCTGCAACAAATACCAAAAAGTTAAAAGACAACTCAAAGAATTGGAGAAAGTATTTGTAAAGCCTGTACCTGATACAAGATTTATATCCAGAACATATAAGTAACTACTACAACTCAACAACAAAAAACCCATACAAAAAGTACAGAACTCTTAGGAAAAACAAAGGCTGGGGGCCAGCACCCTGATTTAGTAGACTACACCTCCACCTGCACCGCCACCATCACATATGGGCGCCAGTTTGTGTCCCAGCTCCTCCTTCTAGATCCAGTTTTCTGCTTATGGGCTGGAGAAGCAGTAGGAGATTGCCCAAGCACTTGGGCCCCTGCACCCATGAGGGAGATCCAGAAGAAGCTCCTGATCAGCTCAGCTCTGGCTGTTGGGGCCATTTGGGGATTGAACCAGTGGATGAAGACTTTTCTCTCTGTCTCTCCCTCTCTCTGTAACTGTACCTCTCAAATAAATAAACAAAATCTTTAAAAAAAAAAAAAAAGGGCTACATCTCAAGGCATCAAATTTGGCTAAGATTGATTGGATATAATATGAAAAGCATAGACAACACTCTACAGGATGGCCTTTATGCAAAAAACATTACATATCTAGTGTTGGGAAGGATGTGGACAAATTACAACCCTCATGGCATTGCTAACAGAAATGTAAAACATAGGAATATTATATGATCTAGCAATCAATTCAATTATACACACACACACACACACACACCCAGAAGAATTTGAAACAAAGACTCAAACAGGTATTTGTATACCATTATTCATACCAGCATTATTCTTAATACACAAAAGGTAGAAACAAATGTTCATCAACATAGGAATTAACAAAATACAGAATACACATACAATGGTATATTAACTAGCCATTAAAAAGAAATGAAATTCTAATATACACTACTCTATGAATGAACTCTGAAAACATTATGCTAAGTGAAGTGAGATAAGCCAGATACAAAAGGTCAAATATTGTATGGTTGTTCTTATATGAGATATCTAAAATGAGAAAATTCCTAAGATGAAAATAGAAGTTACTAGGAAGTTATCATTTCATGGTACAGAAATTCTGTTTGGAATGATAAAAACTTTTAGAAATGGACAGTGATAATGATGGCAGAATCTTATAAATACACTTAATGGCATTGAATTATATAAAAACGATTAAGATGGTAAATTGTATTTTCACACACACACACACACACAACACTTAAAAAAAAAATCCTGGAACCAGGTGACACTTAAGGGATAGAGAAGGAGGATTTTGTTGAGACTTCCTGACACTGGTAAAGCATATACCCAAACTATATTTAAAGGCAAACCTAGGGGCCAGCGCTGTGGCGCAGTGAGTTAACACCCTGGCCTGAAGTGCCGGCATCCCATATGGCCGCCGGTTCGAGACACGGCTGCTCCACTTCCTGTCCAGCTCTCTGCTATGGCCTGGGAAAGAAATAGAAAATGGCCCAAGTCCTTGGGCCCCTGCACCCACGTGGGAGACCGGGGAGAAGCTCCTGGCCCCTGGCTTCAGATCCGCATAGCTCCAGCCGTTGTGGCCATCTGGGGAGTGAACCAAAGGATGGAAGACCTTTCTCTCTCTCTCTCTTTCTCTCTGCCTCTCCTCTCTCTGTGTAACTCTGACTTTCAAATAAATAAATAAATCTTTAAAAAAAAAAAGGCAAACCTAAGTGTTTAAGTTTTGCAGTGAAGGACCACAAATTTAATGGCAAATTAATTCGGTGTATTTGTTTTTGATAAATAAAAATACTAATTTCAACTGATCTGAGTCTATGCCAATTAGAGCAAATACATCATATTTTTTATTATTATTTAAGACCTTTATTAACAGGTGTTTGCAGTTTGTTGACTTTTTTGAAAAAATCAAGTTGTAAACTTTTATTACAAATTAAAAATGAAATTCTTAAAATCTTCAACTTGACCAGATACAGAACAATTTTTTTTTTTTTTTTGACAGGCAGAGTGGACAGTGAGAGAGAGAGACAGAGAGAAAGGTCTTCCTTTTTGCCGTTGGTTCACCCTCCAATGGCCGCCGCGCTGATCCGATGGCAGGAGCCAGGAGCCAGGTGCTTTTCCTGGTCTCCCATGGGGTGCAGGGCCCAAGCACCTGGGCCATCCTCCACTGCACTCCCTGGCCACAGCAGAGAGCTGGCCTGGAAGAGGGGCAACCGGGACAGAATCCGGCGCCCCAACCGGGACTAGAACCCGGTGTGCCGGCGCCACTAGGCGGAGGATTAGCCTAGTGAGCCGCGGCGCCAGCAGATACAGAACAATTTAAAAGCCTTCAAAGGTGTACTGAGGGGCCAGCACTGTGGTTTAGTGGGTAAAGCCTCCACCTGCAGTGCCAGCATCCCATATGGGCGCCAGTTCAAGTCCTGGCTGCTCCACTTCCAATCCAGCTCTCTGCTATGGCCTGGGAAAGCAGTGGAAGATGGCCCAAGTCCTTGAGTCCCTGCACCCACGTGGGAGACCTGGAAGAAGCTCCTGGCTCCTGGTTTCGAATTTACCCAGCTCTGGCCATTGCAGCCATTTGGGGAGTGAACAAGTGGATGGAAGACCCCACCCCAACCCCACCGCACCTCTGTAACTCTGCCTTTCAAATAAGTAAATAAATCTGAAAAAAAAAGTGTATTGAGAAAAACCAGGCTTTAAAAAAAAGTTTATTATTACAAGAAACATATCTTTAGGTAAAAAAATATTAAAAGCCCCATGCTGCAGACATAATGCAGACAGTTCTAGCAATCTGGTCAACAGGCAAAAAACAAGCACTGAAGGTCTTCAGCCCCAATTTTTTGTTCATTTCTTATTGCTGGGATTTCATATTCACTTCTTCTTGTTGGATGACTAAACCGGGTGATGGCAGATGTAAGCCAGCATTTTCTCAGCCCCGCCCTGCCCAGCCTCATGACCAGACGGATTCTCAGGTGGTGGATCCATTGCTTGTGTCTCTTTGCCATCCTGTGGTTTAGGGTTTTCTGGACACCTGTCTCAGTAACTGAAGTTGTGGTGGTACTGATGCTGAGGTGGCTGGCGGCCTTGGGTCCCATCTCCTTGCTTTTCCTTATTGTCTTCACTGCTGCCCTCTCTAGGCTGTCTGGTGAGGACTCTGCAGAAGTGTGGTCTATAACCCTGGTATTCTGTCTCACAGGCCTACCTTGTTCTCCTGCACCCTGGCTGTCAGCGCCTTCTATCATTTCTCCCTGCACAGGAGGGTCGGAATACCGTGGTTGAGCCCATAGGGTCTCCACATGTACTAAGGTGGGAACCTTTGTCTGCGGTAGGGCTGGCCTTGTTGGGCCTGGCCTTCGGGAGAGCTCTCCAAGTCCTCATTCTTTTCCCTTCTCACTACTTTGGTAATTCTTCTGGTAATTGCATAGAGAACCCCTATGATGTGGGGTGCATATTTACTGCCTTGCAGATGAACTCCGATAGGGCCTGTCACATTTGCTGCCTTCATACCCTTTTCTCTTTCAACAACATCAAACCCCACAGTCTCTCCATCTCCTACACTGGGAAGGGACTTCCTGGGGTTATTCTTCATTATAGCAGTCTGGTGTAAAAATACGTTTCCTTTGATGTCATTCCTGTTGATGAAACCAAACCATATCCATTTCTTATATGGAACCATATCCATTTGTTTTATGTTCCCAAAACCTTCGTTGTGATGATCTTCTTGTTACTGCAAGCAAGCGCAGCCAATGTGAGGCTTCTCGGACACCGTTCTCTGCGCTGCTGCCTGTGGTACTGGGACTTGGTTTCTGAGGCGCTGAGGGCAGCTGTGGGGTCGCTGCTCATGGTTGTGCTGGTGGTGACTGGAGACCGCTGCGGCAGCTGCGGCTCCTCCAGGCGTGTGATGGTAACTAGGCCGGCAGCAGCACTGGGGCTGCTCAGAGCTCTCTTGGGTCCGCTCTCCACTGCTGCTACCGATCGAACTCCGTAATTTCTAGAATGCCAGCTTACAGCATGAGCATCTGTGCAAGCTGAATGGCACCAGTTAGAATGCCCATGTCCCACATCCAAGTACGCAGGTTCAATTCCCTGCTCTGGATTCCGATTCATCTTTCTGCTAATGTGGACCCTGAGAGGCAGCAGTGATGGCTCAACTAGTCGGGTTCCTGCCACCAACGTGAAAGACCAAGATTAGGTTCCCAGCTTTCAGCTTCTATCCTGGGGTTGTTCTGGGCATTTGGGGAGTAAACTAGTGCATGAGAGCTCACTCTCTGACAGTGTATCTGTCTCAACCTCTCAAATGAAAAAATGAGTATTTTAAAAACATATAATGCTTGCTTATGATTCTCCTATTCACCCACCAAAAATGAGTATATAATAAAAACATGCTAGCATCCAAAAATGCTAATATTTCTAAGAGGAAAAATATAGACCCGATATCTTCACTTACCTGCTATTTTGCCTAAAAAGGTAGTCAAGCACCATAAAAAGTCCTTTGAGCATAACTTGAGTTGAAGCACTGATAACAGGTACTTCTACTGCCTCCTCTATTCCACGAATTTGTGAGACTTTTTCTTCTTTTTGAAGAACAGTGGAAAAATGACCCTATAAGAAATCACCACATTAATAATGAGAGGGCAGAGGACAAGCAAAAGCAATTTCTTAAAAGCATAATGAAATACAAAGGAAATACACATTCAAACTATAGGTGAATGCTATCACAATGCTAACAGTATACTCATACTTAAGATTCACTTACTAACTAAATTCTCCTCAGAGTCAAAGACACTTTAATAATAAGTTAGACAGGAGGTTCATTACTTCTTCAGGCAATTAGGGAACTAAAGTACAATAAAATTTTAAAAAATATAGCCAACAGTTTCTCCAAGGGGCTTAAAAGAATTGCTGGGGCCACTGCTGTGGCACAGTGGGTTAACGCTCTGGATGAAGCACCAGCATCCTATATGGGCGCCGGTTCTGGTCCCAGCTGCTCCTCTTCCCATTCAGCTCTCTGCTATGGCCTGGGAAAGCAATAGAAGATGGCCTAAGTCCTTGGGCCCCTGCACCCACGTGGGAGACCTGGAAGAAACTCCTGGCTTCGGACTGGCACAGTTCCAGCCATTGCGGCCAATTGGGGAGTGAACCAACGGATGGAAGACCTCTCTCTCTCTGAGTAACTATGACTTTCAAATAAATAAATAAATTTTTTAAAAAAAGAAGCAGCTCTTGCAAATCTACATTTAAAAAAAAGAAATTGCTATACTGTTCTGAAAACCTAATTTATTTCCAAGAAGGTACTCTGATGCTGAGAATGACCATATAAAAAGTAAAACAAGGGCTGGCATTGTGGCAAAGTGGGTAAGGCCGCCAACTGAGATGCCAGCATTCCATATGGGCACCTGTTTGAGACCTGGAGGACCCACTTCTCATCCAGCTCTCTGTTGGTGTGCTAGGATTATTTTTTTTTTCTATAAGATTTATTTATTTACTTGAAAGGCATAGTTACAGAGACAGGGAGCGAGCGAGCTTCCATCAGCTGGTTCACTCCCCAAATGGCCACAACAGCCAGAGCTGAGCTGATCCAAAGTCAAGAGGCAGGAGCTTCTTCTGGGTCTCCCATATGGGTACAGGAGCCCAAGCACCTGGGCCATCCTCTCCTGCTTTCCCAGGTGCTTTAGCAGGGAGCTGGATTAGAAATGGAGCAGCTGGGAAAGGAACCACTGCCCATATGGCAAGCCAGCGCCACAGGCAGAAACTACCTGTTACGCCATAGCACAGCCCCGAATCATTTTCTTCTTTATGCCTTCTATATATTCCAAGTTTATTCCATCAACACAAATTTTACTTGTCCATTTTTTATTGGCATGTAATATATATATATCTTAAATGTAGCGCTTAATAAACACCCAACACACACACACACACACACAAACTACATAACCGATGATCATTCAGGATACAAAACAGTCCCAGAATCCTAGACTCTCTTGTGCCCTTTTTCATCCCAAACTGGCCCAAACTCCTGCAGAGTAATAACCAATATTTTGACTTCTATCACATTAGGACTATCTGTACTTAAACTTCGTAAAAATAGAATCACACAGTTTGCACTCTTAGTCTTTTTTTTTCCACTCAACATTATGTGTCTAAGATTTATCTAAATGGTTGAGATGGGAGTAGTTTTTTGTTAAGAATATTCTACTTCATGAATATACTATAATTTATCCATTTTCCTGTACAAACGTGGAAAAAATGTGAAACAGAAATATATTTTCCAAAAAAATTAACTCAAAGTAGATAATAGATCTAAATACAAAAGGCAACCCTATAAACCTTCTAGAAGATAGGAGAAAATCTGAGTTTGGAGTTGAGTTTTTAGATATAATACCTAAAGCAAGATCCATGAAAGAAAAAAACTGGCAAGCTGAACTGCATTAAAACTAAAAACTTCTACTCTGTGAAAGACACATTTAACATTAGAATGAAAAAGACAAAACACATTTAAAAGGATAAACAGACTGGACAAATATATTTGCAAACACGTATCTGATGAATGGGTTGTTTTCAAAATATACAAAGAACTCTTAGAATTCAACAATTAAAGTACAATCTGTGGTAGGTGTTTGGCCCAGCAGTTAAGACTCTGAGACACTAACATCTCGTACGTCATATGTGAGTATCTAGGCTTAAGTCCTGGCTCTGCTTCCAATTCCAACTTCCTGCTAATGGGCACCCTGGGAGACAGCAGGTGATGGCTCAAATAGTTGGATCCCTGCCACCCATATGGCAGACCCAAACTGGGATTCTGTCTTTGGCCTGGCCCCAACCTAGCTATTGCAGACAGTGAGGAGTGAACCAGAGGATGGAAATTCTTCCCCCTTCACTGTCTCTGTCTCTACCTTTCAAATAAGTAAATATAAATTTTAAAAGTATTAAAAATTCCAATAGAAAAATGAGCAAATGATACAAACAGGCATCACAAAGGAAGACACATAGATGGCAAGTAAAATATAAAAAGATACTCAATATCATTTCTTTAGTGAAGTACAAATAAAAGTAATGAGGTATCTATGCTATACATCTATTAGAATGGTTAAAATTCAAAACACTGACAACATCAAATGCTAACAAAGATGTAGAGCAACAGGAACTCTCATTCATTGCTGGTGAGAAAACAAAACAATACAGACTTTAGAAGACAGTTTAGCAGTTTCTTGCAAAGTTAAACAGTCTTACTCAACAACTACTGTGCTCCTAAGTATTTACTCAAACAAGCAGAAGACATAACCACACAAAAACATGAATACAAATGTTTATAGTAGCTTTATGCACAACTGCCAAAAATTGGTAGCCACCCATATGCGCTGCCACAGATGGACACACAAACAATGGTACCGACACTGGAACATTGCTCAGCAACAAAAAGAAATAAGTTGCAAGCCAAAAAAAAAAAGGACATGATGTTACCTTAAATGCATACTGTTAAGCACAAGAAGTCAGTCTGAAAAGATTACATTACATTATATACTACACAATTCCAACTATACAGCTTCTCAGAAAAGGCCAAAGTATCAAGTCAGGAAAAAATATCAATGGTTGCCAGGGGTTTGGTAGAAGTGGGGTTTGATGTGATGGAAGGATATGAAGGCACCACACCGAAGATTTTTAAGACTGTGAATACATTTAGTATAATACTGTAACAACAGGTTGATAGGCAAAACCTAGGTAAATTATACAACACAAGAAGTGAACCCTGGGGCCAGTGCTGTGGTATAATGGAATAATTCACCACCTGCAGCACTGGCATCCCTTATGGGCACCAGTTCGAGTCCTGGCTGCTCTACTTCTGATCCAGCTCCCTGCTAATGTGCCTGGGAAACAGGGGAAGATGCCCAATGACTGGGCCCCTGCACCCACATTGGACACCCAGATAAAGCTCCTGGCTCCTGGCTTCAGTCTGGCCCAGCCCTGGCCGTTGTAGCCATTTTTGGGAATGAACCAGGAGATGGAAGAGTTTCTCTCTCGCTGCCTCTGCCATTCAAATGAATAAATAATTTTTTTTCTTTTTTTTATTTTAAGAAGTGAACCTTAAAGTAAACCATGGACTTAAATTGGAACAAATTACACTATAGAAAGATGTCAGTAATAGGAAAAACATTGATATCTGTGGTGGGCTGGGCATTTGGTGAGAATATACTCATATAACTGTAATTACTGCTCAATTTTACTCAAAACCTAAAACAGCCTCTAAAAAATCAAGTCTATAAAACTGAGAATATGAAAATTATCCTCTATGCAGAAAAAATGGACACAAATACATACTCATAAAATGTTATATACAACTTCATAAGGTTCATAATTTTCTTTTTTTTTTTTTTTTTTTTTTTTTTACAGGCAGAGTGGACAGTGAGGGAGAGAGACAGAAAGAAAGGTCTTCCTTTGCCATTGGTTCACCCTCCAATGGCCGCTGCCGCTGGCTCCCTGTGGCCGGAGCACAACGTTAATCCGAAGGCAGGAGCCAGGTGCTTCTTCCTGGTCTCCCATGCAGGTGCAGGGCCCAGCACTTGGGCCATCCTCCACTGCCCTCCCGGGCCACAGCAGAGAGCTGGACTGGAAGAGGGGCAACCGGGACAGAATCCGGCGCCCCAACCAGCACTAGAACCCGGGGTGCCAGCGCCACAGGTGGAGGATTAGCCTAGTGAGCCGTGCGCCAGCCAAAGTTCATAATTTTCTAAAAGCCCACTTAGGCCGGCGCCGCGGCTCACTAGGCTAATCCTCCGCCTAGCGGCGCCGGCACACCGGGTTCTAGTCCCGGTCGGGGCACCGGATTCTGTCCCGGTTGCCCCTCTTCCAGGCCAGCCCTCTGCTGTGGCCCGGGAGTGCAGTGGAGGATGGCCCAGGTGCTTGGGCCCTGCACCCCATGGGAGACCAGGAAAAGCACCTGGCTCCTGGCTCCTGCCATCGGATCAGCGCGGTGCGCCGGTCGCATCGCGCTGGCTGCGGCGGCCATTGGAGGGTGAACCAACGGCAAAGGAAGACCTTTCTCTCTGTCTCTCTCTCTCACTGTCCACTCTGCCTGTCAAAAAAAAAAAAAAAAAAAAAAAAAAAAAAAAATTTTCTAAAAGCCCACTTAAGATCTCTATGTATGGGGGCCGGCACTGTGGTGCAGCAGGTAAAGCTTGCACCTGAAGTGCTGGCAGTTCTAGTCCTGGCTGCTCCACTTCCGATCCAGCTCTCTGCTATGGCCTGGGAAAGCAGTAGAAGATGGCCCAAGTCCTTGGGCCCCTGCACATGTGGGAGACCCAGAAGAAGCTCCTGGCTCCTAGCTCCAGCCATTGTGGCCATTTGGGGAAAGAATCAGCAAATGGAAGACGTTTCTCTCTTTCTCTCTGCCTCTCTGTAACTCTGCCTTTCGAACAAATAAATAAATAAATCCTAAAAAAAAAAACAAAAACAAACAAACCAAAAAAATTCTATCCATGAACCTAGGTTTATAATATCTAGGTTAAGGTGAATGAACAAAACATCAGGTTTCTTTTTTTTCCAAAATTTTAACTCTTAAAATTGATAAAAAATTTTATAATCTAAAAATATTGGCTCTTTTTACATTTTAACAAAAAGCAATTAATCTCTTGAAGCCTTATTTCTTTCAAACTAAATAATTCTATATTTTCACTCATAATTTATCCATGCCATCACTTAAAAGCTTATAAAATTTAAATAAAAGATAAAAAACTAAATTCTAGATTATCCAATGAAATTACTCTTGATTTATTTACTATTAAATCATTTCTTTTTAAGATTTAATTAAGTAATCTGAAAGATAGAATGACAGAGAGAGGGATGGAGAGCGGGGGAGGAAGGGAGGGAGAGAGAGGAAGAAAGCTTATCCATGTTTCAATTCATTCCTCAAATAAAAACCAAAGTCAGGGGCTAGGAATTCCATCTGGGTCTCCCATTTGTGTGGCAAGATCTCTAGTCCTTGGGCCATCACTTGTTGCTGAATCAGAAACAGAGGCGGGACCTGATCCCAAGCACTTGAAGATGAGATGCAAGTATCTACTCTAGCAGCTTAATCCACTGAGCCCCAACTCCTGCCCCTACTAAATCACTTCCAATTCATTAAATGAATTTCAAAGGCAGAAAAAGAAATCTTACCTGCAAAATGGGAAAAGTAGCAGTAGTGATGCCCATTTTGTGTAAATTTAAGAGCATTTCCTTTCCACTCCATATTTTACAGGATGATTCATAATCCCTTTCTACAAGATGTTCAGTGTTTGCTTCTAACCAACTGGAATAAAATAAAGACAATCCTGTCAGTCAGTATCATCCTTATCTGCACTACTTCAACAGAATAAGACATCTGTAATTCACACTGTCTTACTTGATTAATGTTTCTCCAAAAGAGAGTAAGGCCTTAGGTACTTATTCCCAATGTACATTAAAGGAAATGCAAAGCAAGCTAATAAAGAAACTGCGAAGTGCTGCTTATTATTACATACATTCAGTAAGCATCTGAATGCCCATTTTAAGTCAGACAGCTGAGTAGTAGAAATAACAAGTCAGTAAAATAAGCAAAGTGCTTATTCTCAGTACACGTTATTAAGACAGAAATAAACATATAAGCCAATAGATAAACAAGAAAATTTCAGGTAGTAATATATAACAAAAATAAACTGTGTTAATATAACAGAGCTGCTACTTTGACAGGAATGTCTACAGTACTCTTCCTGAGGTCATACTTATTTTAACTGAATGCAAAAAGTATCCCATCACAAGGATATCAGGAAAAAAAAAGAAGAAATGATATGAACAATGTGAGAAAAATAAGAGGAATCAGATCATCTTAACCCAGGACAAGAAATTTGGATTGTATTTAAAGTACAATGGGAAAGTTTTAAATAAGAGAGAGACCATCTATTTTAAGTGTTTACAAGCTAATTCCAGCTTCCAAGCCGTAACATATTACAGGAAAAAGAAGAATGAAAGCAGACAACTGTTAGGAGGCTATTACAGTATTCTAGTTGAGAAATGATTTGAGAATGATAGAAAAAGAGAGTTAAAGAAATTTATGGATTTGGGATTTATTGTGTAGATGGCATCTGCAAGACTTTCTGATGAACTGGATGAAAGAGATAGTAACCAAGAATATTATTTAGATTTCTGATTTGAGGAACTGGTTGGTACTGTTTGCTTAAATGGTTAAGACCTGGGGCAAGAGGAGTGGGGACGGTAATGAAAGGAAAGGGTTTTGCTTTGAGTGTAAACTTGAATGTCTTTTTGATATCCAAATAGATATATAAAGTACATAGTTGGACCTATGAGAACAGCATTTCAAGAAGAGGTTGGGACTACAGACATAGATTCACATCTTACCAGTACTGCAAAGTACACTATAGTCTACAATATTAGGTTAATAACTTAAGGAAAAAGGAAGAGCTAGTAGAGACATTAGGTCCTAAGGCAAAATCCTGAGATACCTGAACATTCAGAAATCAAACAGAAAGATAATTATCAAGAGACATGAAAACGAATAGACTGTGAAGCAGAAAACCAAGAGATATCATAGAAGCTAAGATAAAAATGCTTTTCAAAAAGAGGTGGTCATCTATAACACCTAGCACTGCTGAGAAGTAAGACAAAAGAAAAATGGATTTGGCAACATAGTAGTTCTCCTTTAATAGAGGTTTTACTTTCCACAGCTTCAATAACTCATAATCATTATTCAAAAATGTTAAATGAAAAATTTCAGAAGTAAAGCATGTGTAAGTTTTAAACTGTATACCAGTCTGAGTAGCATGAGGAAGTCCTGTGTCATCTTCATGCCATGCCACCTGGGACATGAATCATCCTGCTGATTAGCATGTCCATCGTGTACACATCACTCACCCAACACTCACTCGGTAGTCATCTCCATTATCAGTCTGACTGTGCAGTATTGCAGGGCATTAAATAATGGTCCCCGAGTGTAAGACTACTGATGCTAGATTCAGATACGCCAAAAGAAGACATAAAGTGTTTCCTTTAAATGAAAAGGGAAAGTTCTCAGCATAAAAGAAAAAAATCATATGCTAGGGTTGTAAAGATCTATGGTAAAAAACAAATTCTCTATCGTTCAAATTCTGAAGAAAGAGAAATTCATGCTAGATTTGCTACTGAATCTCAAATTAGAAAATTTGTGGCCACAGTGCATGATAAGTGATTGGTTAGGAAGGAAAAGGTATTAAATGATAGAGTCCAGTACTGCCCTCTGTTTTCAGAATTACCTGGGGAACATATTCCTTTCAGATAAGAGAGAACAATACAGATACCTTTGGCAACCTTGATGAGAACAGCACAAAAGTACAGACACCATTACTATCAGGGTAAATGAGAGGAAGATGTGAGAAAATAAAAGTGGCAACAATAAACAAATCAACAAATTATTCTATGAAATAAAATTGACAAAATTCTACATGGCAAAAATACTACAAGGGAAGACGTGGCAGATGGCAAAACTGAGGTGGGGTGACAATAGTATTTGCAACTCTTATTGTAGGTAATTAACTTACTCACTTAAAGAGCTTCTACACCAACAAGAAAAAGAACCATATCAAAAAGAACCAGTACAGGACACAGCTGTCAACAGTTGATCCAAAGGAAATAAAAATGACTTAGTTTCATTCATATTGAAATGTAAATGAAAACTACACTGGGATACCATTTTCTACCTCAAAAGCACTCCAAAAAATAAGTTCCAAACTCTCATACACTGCTGGCAGAAGCATATATTAGTCTTCTGCTCACTCACCTATTGTGGCAAAATTTAGCAATATCTATGCTTTGATCCAAAAATTCCACTTTTGGGAATTTTCCGATAGATACATTTGCATACATATGAATGGTGTATGTTCAAAGTTATTTATTACAACAAAATACCAAAATCCTAGAAACAACCCCCTCTATTAATCAGAGGTCAATTAAATAAATTGTTGCATTATCTATCCAATAGAATTCCAGGTTTTTTTCAAAATTGAGAAGGTTACCTAGGTCTTCATATGGAAAGATCTTCAAAATATATTAATTCTAAAAAGCAAGATGCATAAAAATTTATGTATAGGGTATCATTTAGATTCAAAAATGAGAAAAAATCTATATGTGTAAATAAGCAATGAATGTTAAGTTTCTTTAGAATGGGAACTGAGCAGACGAGGGACAGGGTGTGGAGACTTGTACTACACAAATTTATTTACATTTTACTAGGGTACTTCAAAAAGTTTGTGAAAAAGTGGAAATAAAGTTTGGGGGGCGGGCAGGCAGCGCCATGCTATAGTGGGTAAAAGCCAGCACCTGCAATGCTGGCATTCCATAAGGGTATGTTTGTGTGCCAGCTGCTCCACTTCCAATCCAGCTCCCTGCTAATAGTGAAAATGTCCATGTCCCATATCAGGGCACATGAGTTTGATACCTGGCTCTGGCTCCTGACCCCAGCTTTCTGCTAATGCAAATCATAGGAAGCAGCAGTTCTACCTCAAGTAACTGGGTCCCTACTACCCATATGGGAGATCCGGACTGAGTTCTCAGCACCTAATTTTGGCCTGGTCAAGTCTCAATCATTGCACAAATTTGGAGAGATTCTCTTTCTCCTTCTCAAATAAATTTTAGTTTTATTATTTATTTTTAAAAGACAGAGCAGGAGCTTGGTTAAGATGCCACTTAGGACACCTGCATCCCATATTGCAGAGCCTGGATTTGAGTCCTGGCTCTGCTCCTGATTCCAGCTTCCTATTAATGCACATTCTGCAAGGCAGCAGAGTGTGGCTCAAGTACTTGAGTCCTTGCCACCACATGGGAGAGACTCCAGCTGAGTTCCCGGCTCCTGGCTTTGGCCTATTGTTCCTGGTTATTGCAGAATTTGGGGAGGATCTGGAAACAGAAGACCCGTCTCTGTCTCTGCCTTTGTAATAAAATGAAAATAAATACATAAAATTTTTTAAAGGTGAGTTTACTATGGTGCAAAAACATTTTGAAATCCATGCAGCTTGCTCATAATATTTCCACAAACTTTTTGAAGATATACATGGATTCCAAAATTTTATGTAACCAAATTATCATTTAATTCCATTTTCCATGAGCTTTTTGAAGTATCCATATTTGCTCAAACCCCATGATTGTGTAACAGTCAATTTCTTTAGAAGTACACTCAAACCTCTGTTTCCATGGGTTCTGTATCCACACAGAATCTTTCCAACAACCACAGATAGAAAAAGCTTTGAAAAAAAATTGCATGTGAACTGAGTATTAGACATTTTTGTCTGTTACTCATCTCTCATCTATACAGAATAATAATTATTTACAAAGCATTTATACTGCATTAAGTATTATAAATAGATATTATTTTAAGTACAAGGATACAGGAGGATATATATAAATTACATGCAGGAGCCGGCACTGTGGCATAGCGGGTAAAGCAGCCTTCTGCAGTGCCAGCATCCCACATGGGCACCAGTTCAAGTCCCAACTGCTCCACTTCTGATCCAGCTCTCTGCTATGGCCTGGGAAAGCAGTGGAAGATGGCCCAACTCCTTGGGCCCCTGCACCCACGTGGGAGACCCAGAAGAAGCTCCCGGCTTCAGATCGGCACAACCCCGGCCGTTGCTGGCAATTGGGGAGTGAACCAATGGATGGAGGATCTTTCTCTTTCTCTTTGCCTCTCTCCAACTCTTTCAAATAAATAAATAAATCTAAAAAAAATTACATGCAAATACTCTATCATTTTATATAAGGGACTTGAACATTGGGGATTATGGTATCCTCAGGGATCCAGGAACCAACACCCCACAGATAATGAGTGATGACAACACACTGTCAAGGAAACAGAAAAAATGTTAATAACAAATTAACAAGATGTAGACTGGGGGGGAGTTTTGTTTTAAAACAACCAGACTCTAAATCAGCAACTTAATCTCTAATAAAAAGGGAATTATCTAATGTGAATTTGAATAAAATTAATGTTAAATCTATTATTTTAGAGTTCTGAAATCATTTAAAACCTATCAAACAAGACTTCTACTCAAGAGGCCAATGCTACGGTGCAGCAGGTTGGGCCACCGCCTACAGCACCTGCATCCCTGTGGGCGCCAGCTCAATTCCTGGATACTGCACCTTCCCATCCAGCTCCCTGCTCCTGTGCCTGGGACCCAGGCAGCAGAGGACAGTCTAAGTGCTTGGGCCCATGCATGCACGTGAGAGACCCAGAAGAGGCTCCTGGCCAGGCCATTTGGGAAGTGAACCAGAGGATGGAGGACCTCTCTCTCTCTTTCTCTTTCTGTCCACCTCCATAATGCTGTCTTCTGCCTTCAAATAAATAAAATAAATAAATCTAAAACCAAACAACAACAAAAAAGAATTCTACTCAAAAGATAAAGCAATAAATTAAAGCCTGATTAAGAATTTTTAAATCTATTAATTAAAACTGTGGTTAGGCCGGCGCCACGGCTCAATAGGCTAATCCTCTGCCTTGCGGCACCGGCACACCAGGTTCTAGTCCCGGTCGGGGCGCCAGATTCTGTCCCGGTTGCCCCTCTTCCAGGCCAGCTCTCTGCTGTGACCAGGGAGTGCAGTGGAGGATGGCCCAAGTGCTTGGGCCCTGCACCCCATGGGAGACCAGGATAAGTACCTGGCTCCTGCCATCGGATCAGTGTGGTGCACTGGCCGCAACGCGCTGGCCGTGGCGGCCATTGGAGGGTGAACCAACAGTAAAGGAAGACCTCTCTCTCTCTCTCTCACTGTCCACTCTGCCTGTCAAAAAAAAAAAAAAAAAACCTGAACAACTGTGGTTAGTTTGTTCAGTGTCCTATAGACATTATATGGGGCCATAAAAATATTCTCCTAAATTAGTAAGAAGATTCATAATTTTTTAGACTTCATGAACTGTTTTTAAAGTTTATACAGCAAAATATGATACCAACATCATAATATAAAGGCTATTCACAGAAGAGGAGAAAATATTTGCAAATGATGTATCTGATGAGGGATTAATATCTAGAACATACAGAGAACTCCTAAACTCAACCCTGAAAGTCAAACTCAATTCAAATAAGGGCAAAGAACTTTAATAGACATTTCTTCAAAAAGATAGAGAATTGGCCAATAAGCACATGAAAAGATGCTCAACGTCACTAATAAGCAAGGAAATGTAAGTTAAAACTACAATGAGGCACTGTTCACAACCACTGGGATCATTACTATCCAAAAACACAGAAAAGAATAAGTGTCCATGAAGAGAGGAGAAATGAGAACTCTCGTGCACTGTCAGGCGCTACAGCCACTCTGGAAAAATGGCATTGTGGTTCCTCAAAAAATTAAAAATCAAATTATCGTATGATCCAGCAATTCTACTTCTCGGTAAATACCCAAAAGAATGGAAGGAAGGGTCTTGAAGAAACATTTGTGTCCTGAAAGTCATAGGATGACTCACAGCAACCAAAAAGTTGAAGCAACCCATCTAACGAGGAATGGATAAGCAAAATGTGGTGTGTGCCTACAGTGGAATATTATTCAGCACTAGGAAAGAAGGAAATCCTGTTACACAGTGAAACATGGATGAACCTTCAGAATGATAAAGGAAACAAATCAGTCAAAAAATGTCAAACAGTGTGTGATTCCTTATATATGAGTACTTAAAGCATAGAGACAGGAAGTAGATTGATGGTTGCCAGGGCCTGGGAATAGAGGAATTGAGGAGTTATTGTTTAATGAGTTATAGAACTGCAGTTTTACAAGGGAAAATACTTATGGAGATGAAAGGTGGTGATGGTTGCATAACTATGAATGATTTAATACTACTGTACTCTTAAAAAAAAAAAAGAAAAAGAAATTACCACACTGTTTTCTGAAGTGGTTGTGTCATTTATTCCCATCAGCAATGTCTGAGGGTTCCCATTTCTCTAGAGCCTTGCCAATGTTTGTATTGTTTTGTTTTTTATCATAACCTTTTAGCAAGCATGAGATGCTATTTCATGGTTTTAATCTGCATTGCTCTAGTAACATTGATTTGAGCATTTTTTCATGTACTTATTAGCTGTTTGCACTTCAGAAGCTTCACAATTATTAATTTTTAAAAACCAATTAATTTCATTTTAATCTTTGGAATAAGACAAAGGCTAGATCAGGCTTTCTTTTTTTATTAACAAAGTTTAACTGGCAGGAAAACAACCCATTTCCCAAGTATCCTGGTTAATCAAAATTTACTAACTTTAAAACACTGGCATAACAAAACCTGTGTTTGACACTCAGGCAGCATAAATACACTACTACACAAATATTCTTACTTAATGAGGCTATAGCACACAGCTCGTAGAGGTTCATGGTCTTTCTTCCTTATATTATTGTTGACCAGACTATCTAGTTCATCTCTAGCAAACCGCAGCTGAACTTCGGTTACACTGTAACTTGCTGATTCTCGAGCACAGTCCTCAATGTTATGAGCTTCATCTAAAATGACAACCTGTTCCTTCAGATTTATATCCATCTATAAGACAAAAGAATTTTCCTGTAAAAATTTGGCAAAATGGATTTAACAACAAGGCAAGATATTTCATTTAAAAATTCACAGTATATTAAGCCAAAATTGCAAGTCAATTACTAGCAACTGACCCTGGATCTTAAATAAAACTTGTGAAACACTAAAGCCAACCAAATACCAGCTCCATGCTTCAGAGTTTGCTATTTTTAACTCTCAAAATATTTGACAAACCTATCAATGAAAAAAAACATGTGTTACATGAGCTTGAATCAAGGTACTGCAGGCTACAAGGAAGGATATAAAATTCTACAATGAAGGAGTTTCCAATGTAATGTTTTGAAAGAATATATTGTAATACCTTTAAAAGTAAAACACAGCATTCAAATGATTCTCAAAATACTGACATGATGTAGTGTGTTTTGGTTTCATTTTAGTTTGTCCTGCAACCCTTCATTTTGAGAACTGCTCTTCTCCAATTCCCATGTGATAATGGCAGCACTACAAGAGTACTTCAAAAAAGTCACAGAAAATGGGTATTATGGGAAAAGATTGTCAATGAAAGAACTATAAATGGCCAGTGCCGTGGCTCACTTGGCTAATCTTCCACCTGCGGCACTGGCATCCCAGGTTCTAGACCCAGCTGGGGCGCCAGGTACTAGTTCCGGTTGCTCCTCTTCCAGTCCAGCTCTCTGCTGTGGCCCGGGAGGGCAGTGGAGGATAGCCCAAGTCCCTGCACTGACATGGGAGACTGGGAGGAAGCACCCGGCTTCTGGCTTCGGATCGGCGCAGCGTCGGCCGTGGCGGCCATTAGGGGAGTGAACCAACGGAAGGAAAACCTTTCTGTCTCTCACTGTCTATAACTCTCTAACTCTACCTGTCCCCCAAAAGATAAATAAATAAATAAATAAAATAAAATAAAATAAAAACTACAAATGGATTCAAAAAAAATATTAATTATCTACTTTTTTATCTGAAAAAGAGAGCTCCTATCTGCCAATTCATTCACCTAATGCCCACACAGACTGGGGCTGGTCAAGGTCTGACACTGGAAGCTGGGAACGCAATCCCAGCTCCTCACTCCTCACTCCTCACCCGGGTGGCAGGAACCCAACTACATGAGTCATCACTGCTGCTTCCCAGGCTCTGTATTAGCAGGAACCTGCAGTCAGAAGCCAAAGACTCAAACCTGGGCACTCTGATGTGGGATATGGCCATCTTAACTGGAGTCTTCACCACTGGGCTACATGCCTATCCTTCAAAAAATTTTTTCACAAAAGTAATCTCTCAATTCCATTTTTCTAAGAACTTTTTGAAGTATTGTCTTATTAATCTGAGTCAAGGGACATCACCACTCCTCTCATAACAGGGGTAAGGGTTATCACACAGGCTTCTCAAATAAGTTTTCCATCCTTCTGAGGACAAGGACTGGTTCAGGTTCAAAACCAGATCTGTGATCTAAGCTAGGCCAATCAAACTAATTTGGGGCAAATAATATTTGGTCATATTCTTTTCTCTAGGTTAGCCTGATGTTTATTATCTTTGTCCTCACAAGGAAAGGGGTGGCCTATGAAGAAAGCCACTGCAATGCAGAGGCAGTATTTTTGCTTATGCCCTTATTAAGTTTGCATTGTGTTAGCTGCAATAGAAAGAGTCCTGACTAACGAAGACTAGGAAATGTCACAAAGCAATGGCCACCATGTTATTTTGGGAATGTAATAATATATAGAGGGCTGACAATGACTGAGAGAGAATGGAAGAATAGAAAATACAATAGGATTTAAAAGATCACTAGGATTTTGATTTGGACAAAGACAGGCAGTGTATTTTAAGAGAAGCTCCATCAAAAGCAGAGAATTAGGAGAGAACAAAGAATCATCTGGGTACTATGAGATCGTTTTTGAAGGTTTCAAGTTTGAGGTTTTAGCAGAGAAGCCAGCAAAGACAGATCCAGGTCAGACTATCAAGCATCTTGAGTACAAACTTAGGAAATATGGACTTTATCCCATGAGCAGAGAGCAACAGGAGGTTTTTAAGCAGGTGAAGGATATAATCAAAGTACTATCATAAATACTGACAAGGATTGATATGTACAATGATTTGGAGAGAAGAGACAGTGTTAATAGTTAACCAAAGGAGTTAAGATTGTAGGGGTAGTAAACGTAATACTTACTAATTACGAACTTAAACAGAAAGATAGTAAGAGCTGTAGAGTCATGCCTAAAAGGAGCAGTAACAATAGACTGTACCAAGCATTCATTTTTTTTTGTTTGTTTTATGCTGTACCAAGTAGATGTCTGTTGGAGAAAGGAGGCAAGTAAGCACAAATGCTTACTTTTTTGATGTCTCAAAAGCTCATGATGCATAGTTTGCATGGTATCCATATTTCCCCAATGTGAGTTCTTCAAAAGCTTTTTTAAAGAAATGTGGTTTTTTTTTTTTTTTTTTTGACAGGCAGAGTGGACAGTGAGAGAGAGAGACAGAGAGAAAGGTCTTCCTTTGCCGTTGGTTCACCCTCCAATGGCCGCCGCGGCCGGCGCGCTGCGGCCGGCGCACCGCGCCGATCCGGTGGCAGGAGCCAGGAGCCAGGTGCTTTTCCTGGTCTCCCATGGGGTGCAGGGCCCAAGCACCTGGGCCATCCTCCACTGCACTCCCTGGCCACAGCAGAGGGCTGGCCTGGAAGAGGGGCAACCGGGACAGAATCCGGCGCCCCTACCGGGACTAGAACCCGGTGTGCCGGCGCCGCTAGGCGGAGGAGAAATGTTTTTAATAATTCCTTGTGATTATTCATAAATGGAAAGAATAATAGCTATAAGCTATAAATGCATCTCAAATTGAAAAAAATTTTGTCCCTAGGACACATTTGGCAATGTCTGAAGACATTTTTGCTGAGTACACCTGTGAGGGTCCTACTGCCATCTAGCAGATGAAACCAAGGATGGTGGTAAACATCTTACAATGCCAAAGACGGTTAATCTCAACAAAGAATGATTCATTACTGCCAAGGCTGAGAAACTCTACTATAATCCTACTTCATTACTAAGTCCTTAAAATGGCTTATCATTTTAAAAATTAAAATGATTAGGTCTATAAGTTTTTAATACACCTTAATATACATTTTCAGTACTCCAATGTTTATATAAATTTATTCACATAATTAAATATAAAGCAAAAATAAAGAAATTAAAACATAAAAAACTTACATTCATAATTTATATTCTAATAAAAAGGAGAAAACTTTTTTCTAATATGTGCATATATACTCACACTTTCCCTTATTTGTGCATCTAGAAGATAGTTGTATGGACAAAATATTATATCGGCATCTTCCACTAGTTCTCGAGCTGTGTAATATGGACACGCCTTTAGTTTCTTCCCCAGGCTAACAAGGTCTTCTATTTCCCAGGCTTTGCACATCCCTTGGAGTGTCTGTAATGTGTGTTGATCACTCATTTTATGAACACCATGATAAAAATAGCATGATTTTCCCTAAAAACAAAGATGTGTAAAAGAAATGTAAACAAATACTGAAACAAAAATAAAACAAGTTTCTCAGAATTAACATCATTAAAGCCATAACCCTAAGATTTACAGAGAAAACAGGTTTACTACCTCTCTAACCCAAACCATTTTAAAAAAGCTATATTACTTTGCTCAAACTCAGAGTGCCACATCAGTAAAACTCCACATATCCACATTAACCTGAAAATATATTTTTAAAATTATGTTTGCTGTGGACTTTGTTCTGATCCAAGTGATAGGTTCGGGAAGAGTACACAGAGCAATGGCATCACTGATTGTTTTTAAGCATGACAACAAAGTGGCCTGAGTACAGGAACGGGAGAGATTTTTCTCTGTAGATTATTTTGTACCTTTTCATTTGAGCTATATGATAGTATTCAAACAAAGAGAGGAAGGGTGGGTGGTTAAAAGGATGGTGGTATACAAAGAAGGAGAGCAGATGCAAGAAAGATGGTTGTCCTGAATGTCCATGGAGAAAAAATAAAGTATGAAAGTACACTATAAAAAATTCCAAAATACAAAAGAGCACAAAATAACCCTAATTATCTATAACTACCACAAAAATTAATTACCATATTGATGTATTTCCTATTTCCTCTATACATATGTATAAAAGGATACATAGCTACTATGTGACCTAGTAACAGCAACAGAGCAAAATTTCCCCAGGTACTGAGGATTATTAATAATCTAGCCACAATAAATAAATGTTTTGGTGAAGCTGCATTCATTTTTTTCCCTCTGCCTATTTTATTAGAAATCATATCAAGAAAATCTCAAGTCAATAAATAATTTCTTATGGCTGCTCATGCTCATATACATGTACAACAAATTAATTTGCCATAGTTGATAATCCAGTTTCCTTATTAATGGTCACCAATTTCTGCTTTATAAATAAATCTACAGTGAAAGTTCTTGTGCCCATTTCCAAATATTTCTTAGCATACATTTTTAGAAGTTGTATTATGAATTCAGACTATGAAGTATTTTTAACTCTCTTAATTATCCTCCAGAAAGTTTAACAATTTTACATTAATTTTCCATAGCTTTATCATTACCAATAATTTATCTCTTTTAAAGGTGAAAAATACAATCTTATTTTAATTTAGATTTTTAAGTTTCTAGCAAGGTTTAACATTGTACCATAAGAACATTCTAAGGTTCAACAAGAATTTCTACTTTTTCTTTTATACTGTTACTGTCCTTTGCCATTCTACTAATAGAAGTAAAAAAAAAAATTACAGGCATTGATTAAAAAAAAAAAGATGTTTGATGGGGCCGGTGCTGTGGTGCAATAGGTTAATCCTCTGCCTGCGGTGCCGGCATCCTATATGGGCACCGGTTCTAGTCCCGGCTGCTCCTCTTCCCATCTAGCTCCACTGGGAAAGCAGTGGAGGATGGCCAAGTCCTTGGCCCCTGCACCCACATGGGAGACTCAGAGGAAGCTCCAGGCTCCTGGCTTTGTATGGGCACAGCTCCGGCCATTGCGGCCATTTGTGGAGTGAACCAGCAGACAGAAGACCTTTCTCTCTGTCTCTCCCTCTCACTATCTGTAACTCTACCTCTCAAAAAGAAAAAATAAGTGCTTGATAAAATTCAGTCTTTACAACAGTCTCACATACTACTGTTAAAAAGTATAGAAAATTAGTAGAAGCATAAAAACACACTTTTAAAAGCATACATTTCTAGTATGAGTAGAATACAGGCTATTTACCAAAAGCTTTCAAAATTTAAAAATCTATCATTAATGTAAATATATGTACACAGTACTGTTAATAGCCAAAAATTGGAAATAAACTTAATGTACACTCACAGGGGACATGTTAAAGATATTATGGCAAATTCATACAAAATCTATTAACTCTTTAAAAATGAGTTAATTTGCCCATATGCTAATATGTTGGCTCTGTAAGGACATATTAAAAAAGAAAAAAAAGGTGCTGAATAATGTGCATAGCATGATTAATTTCAAATAAGTTTTTAAAGAACACACACACATATATCAGAGCAAGTAATTTTTTTAATGTTCTGGCAAAATACATAAAATTTTATAGTAGGGTCAGGCATTTGGCCTAGCACTTATGACACCAGTTAAAGGCCCAACACTTTAACCCAGTACAGTGGGTCAAGCCACTGCTTGTGACAGTGGCGTGCCACATAAGAGCACCAGTTTCTGAGTCCAGCTGGTCTGCTTCCATTCTAGCTCACTGCTAACACTCCTGAGAAAGAAGTGGCAGAAGCAGCCCAAGTACTTGGTTCCTACAATCTATCTGGAAGACCAGGTTGGAGTTCCTGGCTCCTAGCTCTGGCCGGCCCAGCCCCATAGTGACCATTTGGGGAGTAAACCAGTGGATAGATTCTCTCTCTCTCTCTCTCTGAGTGTGTGTGTGTGTCTTACTACCTTTCAAATAAATAAATAAATCTTAAAAAAAGAGTAAGATACCAGTTGAAGCTACCCTGCATCAAAGTGCCTGGGTTGAAACCCTACCTCAAGCTCCAGACTCCTGCTAATCCAAAAGCAGATCCTGGGAGGCTACAGTGCCGGCTCACTCAACAGATTCCTGCCATCCAAATGGGAGACCTGGACTGAATTTCAGCTCTAGGTTTTACCCTCAGCTCAGCCTCAACCAGTGTAAGCACTGGGGAGTGAATTAGCAGATGAACACTCTCTATATATCCATTTCTCTTTGTCTCTCAAATAAACAAATAAAAATTAAAAAAAAAAAAAAAAAAAAAAAACCTTAACAGTGGTTTCTTAAAAGGGCTAAAGAGCTAGAACTTGGAAAGTTTTTTTTACCTTATGCTTTTCTGTATATAATTTTCAATCTTCTAACCATATACATGTATTAACTTTTTAAAAAACTTTATTTGAGACATAGCTCCCATTCAATGATCTATTCCCCAAATGCCTACAATGGTCAGGACTAAGCCGAGGCTGACTGGGAGTCAGGGACTAAATCCAGATCTCACCATTTGGGTGGCAGGGACCTAACCACCTGAGCCACTACCTGCTACCTACACCAGAACATGGATTAGCAGGAAGCTGTAATCGGAGCAGAGCTTGGCCTGGAGGCCAGGCACTGCAACATGGAATGCAGGCATCCCAACCAGGGGCTTAACCTCTCGACCAAATGCCCACTCCAACTGTCATTTGGGACTAACTGGCAGAATACAGAGTCATTTTTATTTTCATTGCTATGCAGAAAAAATTAAAAACGATTGACATATAAATGTCTCCCAAGTTGTTATCCTCAGTAAATGAAAAAAATTACGTATGTGTATACATACATATACACAGTCTTCAGAAATTTCTTGAAAAATACCTATGATGAAAATATTGCATGGATTGCAAAAACTTTGTTCCAAAATAAACTTATATTTTAATGCCATTTTGCAACATCTGGGGCTGGGCCAGTCTGAAGCAGGAGCCAGATGTAGGGGCCCAAAGACTTGGGCCATCCTCCTTGTCTTGCCCAGGCACATCAGCAGGGAGCTGGATCAGAAGTGGAGCAGCCTGGTCTTGAACTGGTGCCCCTACGGGATGCCAACACTGCAGACAGCAACTTAACACACTGTGCCACAGTTCATTCCTTTTCAACTTTCACAAACTTTTCGAAGTACTCTCATTTGTGTTTGTGTATTTATCTATGAATTACTGGAATCTATGTTTTTAAAACATATATTATTATGCATACAAATGTACCTAGAAATTATTAGTAACAGAATAAACCATAAAAGGTCCATAACCTGTAAAAAGATGTCAGCATACCAAAGGCCAAGACATCAACAGCTAAGGGGTAGTCCTCCTAAAGCTTTGTGTTTAGTCATGTTAAAAGAAGATACCTGTTGTTTCCCCAAAGCTTAAAATAAAACAAAAATTAGAAGGAAAAAAATCAACTATATTTCTTTAGTTAATTTTCTACATTATTTTCACTTCTTTGTTTAACCTCTACCTCTGTTTCTACCCTTCTTACTTTGTCAACTTCTCCATACCTTAATGCCATCTTGCTTTGGTCTCTAGTATAGACAATATAACAAATGGACTAGGAGTTAGAAAACATGGATCTTGGTTTCTCCTTTCTTGGTAATTGCTTGTTTGGAAAAAATTCAGGGCCCATTTTACTCATGTGACTGAGCATCAAAGAGTAGCTGACCAGAAACCTTTAAAGATTCCTTCTGATTCACTGACCATATCATCTCTAAGGCTCCTTCCAATTTTAAAATTCTAGGACCCAGAGACAGGCAAGATGTGCCAATTATCCTCCATACTGAGTTTGATACAGACTAAATTGACAGTCACCATTTCTTCATTCCAAGCATCTTCATTAAGGAATATTATCATAGTAAAAAATTATTACAAAGGTGCCTTAACAGTCTATGGTTGTGAACTGCTAAGTCTCAATTTAGGGGCCAGCACTGTGGCGTAGCAGGTGAAGCCGCCACCTGTAGTGCCAGCATCCCATATGGGCGCAGGTTCGAGTCCCGGCTGCTCTACTTCCAAACCAGTTCTCTGCTATGGCCTGGGAAAACAGTAGAAGACGGCACAAGGCCGGCGCTGTGGCTCAATAGCCTAATCCTCCGCCTGCAGCGCCGGCACACCGGGTTCTAGTCCCGGTCAGGGCACCGGATTCTGTCCCGGTCACTCCTCTTCCAGGCCAGCTCTCTGCTGTGGCCAGGGAGTGCAGTGGAGGATGGCCCACGTCCTTGGGCCCTGCACCTCATGGGAGACCAGCAGAACCACCTGGCTCCTGCCTTCGGACCAGCTCGGTGCGCCGGCCACAGCAGCCATTGGGGGGCTGAACCAACGGCAAAAGGAAGACCTTGCTCTCTGTCTCTCTCTCTCTCTCTCTCTCTCTCTCTCTCTCTCACTGTCCACTCTGCCTGTCAAAAAAATTTAAAAAATAAATAAATAAATAAAGATGGCACAAGTCCTTGGGCCCCTATACCTCCATTCTGCCTGTCAAAAAATTTTTTAAAAATAAATAAATAAATAAATAAATAAAGATGGCACAAGTCCTTGGGCCCCTACACCTGCATGGGAGACTTGGAAGAAACTTCTGGATCCTGGCTCCGAACTGGTGCAGCTCTGGCCATTCTGACCAATTTGGGAGTGAACCAGTGAATTGGAGATCTCTCTCTCTCTCTCTCTCTCTCTCCTCTCTCTCCTCTCTCTGTGTAACCTTGACTTTCAAATACATAAATAAATCTTAACAAAAAGTCTCAATTTAACAAAAAAATTGGTATGTTAGACATAAAACAATTTTTAGAATTCTCATCTTTTGCTCTAATTAAAATGATTTTTTCATAACTGAAGTAAGAATTAGCTTTTAACAGACAGGCACAGTGTTTTCTAGTATTATGGCACTTTAATAAAAGAAACAGTGAACAAAAAACACATGTGCCTTCAGATCAAGCCAAAAAATCAGAAAGTTTACACTTTAAGGGCACTGAGAATGACACCACGCTACAGGCTGATAGCAAAACCAGAAAAGCTCATCCATTTTAGCAGTGTAACACAACCCTGAGGGGAGTCTGTCAATTGAAGCGTTATCACACTTTAAACTCTCCTCACTCAAACTGCCAGCTATCGATTTATCACTTCACTTCGGTAATTCAGGACCAGTAAACACAGACACCTAGAGTGACTTTGTAATTGGTCCTCATTACAATACCAAATTACTCTGAGGGCTTGGGAACAAGAAAAAGCACGTCCATGTGTGCCTGTGAGGTAAGCACTCCCAGGCAGAACTAGGTCAAGCCAAACCAAGTAGGTATTCTCAATTATTTATATTAATAATATTAAAATAAAATACTTGTTCACCTCAGACAAACTAAAACCCAGTGAAAAACTTTTTTTTTTATGATTCAAATTTACGAGAGTAAAGATCACCCAAGAAATATAACCAGCACTGCAGGGCTCTAGATTACACATAATAAGACTATTTCCCTTCAACATACAATCTTCAACTTCATAACTGTTTTTACTATTTTGTAAGTTATACATGTTCACATATATATAGATAGCTTATATATGTTATAAATGTTTTTACTTATTTTATAAGTTATATACTTTTTACAAACACATATTAATTTTCCCAAGGAAAAGAAAAAGGTAAAAATACTTGCACAATGACAATGGCAGAAAGTATTCTTTATGTTTATAATATATAAGCAAAAACAAATATTCAAGTATTCAAGGAATGTAGCAGATCAGTCAGCCACTTACTGCAAGAAATCTACTTAAGCATGAAATTTATGGAGTTTTACCATGGGGAGCTTTTTCCCTTATACTTTTGTAGCATTTAACTTTTAATATCTTTATCACTTCTTGAGAATTTTTAAAATATATTGAGTAAAGGGATTTCACCATTCTTAAGTTAACTGTACAATTTCAACAATACTTTTGTTTTAGTAATTATTTTCTTGCTGGCTCTGAAAAAATCAATCAAGTTTTTCTATTGAAGACCCTTTCTACTTATCTAATAATGAATACCTTTACCTCTTATTTCATGATATTAAAGTATCTTTTCAATATTCCTGAATAAGTTGAATAAATTCAAAACTAATTTAGAAAAACACAGAAAGAAATGCATCATATAAAATCATTTATTCACATTATATGTTAGAAGGTGATGCAGCAATGAAAATGAAACCTTGGGTGCTGTACAGCTCATGGCATTTTGCCTAAAAACCTAAAAAATATCAGAGAATTTCAAAAAGTTCATGCTAATTAGAATTAAAAGATAAGCTTATTTTGGTGCAAAAAAATGAAATTCATGCGATTTTTTCATAGTATATATTATCCATGGTCTTTTTTGAAGACTGCCTATACACTGATCTCAAAACTGTTTTGCACCAAGATAAACTTACCTTTTTATTCTCACGTTTTTCCGCAAACTTTTTGGAGCATTCATGTATGAATGAAAAAAAAATAACTTTTGAAATGTATTTTTTTAAAAAATCACTGGTTATTTCATATACTATTCACTAGTGGCTCACCCATGACTTCTGGTTATAATTTCATACTTGAAACTTCAATTTCAGAGTATATTAGGACAACCTACCAGATCACAGACCCTCAAACACTGCCTAAAAACTACTATAAATCATCCAAGTCTTCAGGAAGAAAGACTCCTCTGTTTCTACTTAATCCAAATGCATAGTATTCTAATTTCACTAGAAAATATCAAAATGACCAATGACATCTTTCTAAAGTTAGTAATTTTTTAAAACAGAAATTCATACCTATCAGAATTATAAGGCAGAAAATCATTATATTTTTCACTTCATTCAAAAAGCATTTCAATATTTTCTCAAAGAGAAAGCCTAAATAAACTATCTTCTTTTGAGGTTTTTAAATGTACAAAGTATATTAATTAAATCTAATTAGACTAAATCATTTAAACATTTTATCTCCACATGTCATCATCCATGTTAGTCTATTTTTGGTAAAGGGATTTTAAAATAAGAAAGGTGCCATGTAATTATGACGAAAGTTAATTTCAAGTAATTAAGCTTTAAGAGCAAAACCTCTCATTTTAAACTTGAATATTTTCTTATAAGATTATTTTTCAAAAAATATCAATACTAGCAATTAATTAGATTTTCTAAGTTACTTGTTACTAGAAAGGTAAATTTAAAACACATTCTGTATAATTTTAATATTTTCAGTCTATTTTTTCTCTAAAACAAAGTAACTTTACTCACATTTTTTCCATCCAGCAATTCCATGCACTTTTCCTTTCTGTTGAAGTTACCAACTACTTCAGGGTGGACACAAGTATGATCCCTGCTGGAAAGAATCGTCATCGGGACCCCTGAGTACGCTGTCCTCCGGAGCTCTCTAGTAATCTGAGCAATCTGCTTGTGTGTGCGTGTTCCAAAATATATTTTGGGTCTCTTGGATTTGCCCCCTTGATCTTTCTTAATGGTGTTTGAAGACTCTTGATCGCTTCCTTGTTTAGTGGAACAACCACACCTAGAGCAGTAGCCAGGGGGCTGTAACAGAAGTAAGAAAAGACAGCTAATGTCTAGATGACCACTGAAAATGTTACCAAACTTCTCTTAGAATCAGAACCAATAAATAATGAAACACAATGGTCAAATACAGAGAAAACTCGAGATATTATAGCAATTAAATTTGCAATTAAAAAACTACAAACTCCACTTCACATTGGTTCTCTTTCTTGGATTTTAAGTTATAAATGATGTTTCCATGTTTGTATTCTTTCTAGCATACATCCAACTCTAACTCTCCAATTCAAATTTGTTAAGTACATCTTAACTTTCATAAATTGTAAAAATGGTAAGACAAAATGGAAGACAATTTTAATTATTGCTCAGGCTGCGTGTAAACTTGTGATAGTTAATGTGAAGTTGACAGTTTTATTTATGGAACAGATCATTCAAATATTCATAAAATACCAATTTTTTAAAGGGCATTTTAAATGCAGTTTACAAGACAATAGGAATAATCAAGTTTAAATATCTCTAAAACTAAAAACAAGAAAATTCTCCTCTAGCAAAGGTATGAAAATGGATGTAAAATATCAATATTTAATAATGAAGTAAGCATACCTGTACAGAACAAGGATATGTAAAAGCCAAGTGCCTGTTATTGAGTGCAAATCCATCAGTAAAATTACTACCCAGGACAGATTTTCCTGGACATTCAGGTTCATAATTAAAATAGTTAAATAATATCCTTAAACACATCATATGAAACTGCAATATAGCCTAATATTTACCTGATTTCTCTTCTAGTTCCAAATTCCCACAAATCAAAAAAAACTTTAATGCATAAATGAGTATATATAAGCTTTCACAGGTTCTTAATAATTGTTCCCTTCAAAACCTCAATCACTACTCAAAATGAGATAGAATGAAGCTTCATTTAAGAGAAATACTATAAAATGTTAATTTATAAAAGTAGCCACTAATGGGGGAAAATAAAAAACACAGAAACTAAAAGGAATGATGCGTACTTGAGAGTTTTAGTTTAGTAGAACAAATATTCTACCTGACTACAGGTTTTTTTTTAATTGTAATCGGTAAGATTAGCCTTCATAAACAAATGCTAAGTCATAGCATGTTACACCACAATACTGGGGATCAAGCTGTCTTTTAGCCTCAACTCAGTGGAAAGGCAAGATCGAATTACTCCCAGTCTCACTCAACCTTGTCTGCCATTAAATATTACAATACATGATAGAATGGATGTAAATGTGACCCTTCTGGAGCTGTCACTCACTGGGATAAAAGGTTCACTGATGTGCCAAATAAACAGTCAGTCAAAGCAGATAAAGTTACAGCCATGCTGGAATTGTTACATTCCCCTCTCAGGTTGCCAGTAACAGCAGATTTCATTACAGAGTGCTGCCACATTAAATAGCCAGTTCCAAATATCCTGCCTTCTATATTGAATAATTACTCATTCCCTGAAAGGATAAAAAGAAGAGTTATGAATGGAGCTCTTGTCAACAGTGAGGCAGGAAACAGCTGACGTGTGGTTTATGTTACATATGTTGCAATATCTAACAATTTATGGTCAGAAGAAAATAGAATGCAAATTACATCATGATATTCCTGACTGAATGCTTTTTTGGTCTTTGCATTGATCACAATAATTAATTAACACAATGAACAAATTAAAGTAACTTCAGGTAGCACAATTAGTTTACTTTTTCGTACCTTAGATCTTTTCCCTCAATGCCTCTGCCTTATGACACATGAAGTTCATGTGAATACTGGAATGCATGGGGCCCAATGCATCATTCTGTACTACATGGACATAACACTCAAACATAAGTAATCAGATAATGTCTTTTCTCAAGGCTTGGAAAATCTACCTTTTTATGTAACACTTTTCAGTATCAACTCAAAGCTTTACCACCTCTTCCTTTTAATTCCACCTTTTTTCCTGCCCAAAAACTCAAATATAGAAATATATAAAATAAACCAACTCCCTAAAACAAGTAACCCAATATATCACTTACAGACTTTCATATATAAACACCATTCAGATAATTTCTTTTCAAATTCTAAAGGAATGCTATTATAAGTTTTATACTTTGATATTCTATGTTCAAATCTTTTAATTTTTAAAAGGGATCTATTTGGTGCTAATAATTTAGATGGATGATCTGCTTGTACTGTAATATTATGCTATTAACCATACTAACAAAAGCAAATGATCAAGAACTACTTTCAGAAAACCCACCTCAATAGACAGACTGACTTTAGGTACTGTAAAGTTCTCCTTTACTCCGTAATCCAAAAATTATAAACTATGGCTAATTTTATATTAAACATTATGTTTGATTTTTTTTAAGTTTATTATTTCACAGAGTTAGTGAAAGAAAGGTCTTCCTTCCTTTGGTTCACCCCCCAAAAATGGCCGCCACAGCCGGAGCTACACCGATCAGGAGCCAGGTGCTTCATCCTGGTCTCCGATGCAGGTGCAGGCACCCAAGCACTTGGGCCATCCTCCACTGCACTCCCGGGGCCACAGCAGAGATCTGAAGTGGAAGAGGAGCAACCAGGACAAGAACCCGGTGCCTGTATGGGATGCTGGCGCCTCAGGCAGAGGATCAACCAAGTGAGCCACGGTGCCGGCCCCGATTTTTAAGTTTTAAAGTAATCTGAAGTAATTAACCATTCATGAATTTGAGCAAGACTCAAGAATATAGCTTTCCACAAATAAACAGAATTTAAGAGGAAAATTAACAAAGCAAGTTGTTTATTTTTCCTTTCCATTTTTTTAAAAGATTTATTTCTTTTATTTGAAAGAGTTACAGAGAGGCAGAGGCAGAGGCAGAGAGAGAGAGAGAGGTCTTCCATCCTCTGGTTGACTCCCCTGATGGCTGCAATGGCAGGAGCTGTGCCAATCTGAAGCCACGAGCTTCTTCTGAGTCTCCCACATGGGTGCAGGGGCCCAAGGACTTGGGCCATCTTCTACTGCTTTTCCAGGCCATAGCAGAGAGCTAGATGCGAAGTGGAGCAGTTGGGACTAGAACTGGCGCCCATATGGGATGTCGGCTTTACCTGCTGCGCCACAGCACCAGCCCCTTCCTTTCCATTATTAAATAATTATTTCTTCACAAGTGATCTTCTATTGAAGCTTCCATCTCAACAATACAGTACATCACATGTGAATATGGAAAAACTGATTGTGAAGGTAGAGGAGAAAGCTTCAAAACGATTCATATTTAATAACAAAATGGGTCATTTGTACCAAAGTCAGCAACTTTCAATGCTATAACAAAACTAGAAAAAGAATCCTGATGACAGCAATGACAGAAAGTCAGACTGTCCCCCAATTCAATTAACATGCTGTTTATGGCCTCTCTGTGAAATCCTTCAATTTAGGGATCTTGAAACAATTAAATGAGTAAAATTAAATAACTTCTATAATCCTCATTAAGTATTTCCCCTGCTTAAAAATGATCAGGTTGATCTTTTATAAGGATGTTTTTCTTTTCCCTTTTATATTCAGACTGTACTAGGAAAATAGCAAATTTAAAAATACTCACTCCCATCTAGTAAGTCTGAAGGTCAATAGATGAAACATATGAGCTCCCCCCAACTTGTGAACTCTAAAACCTGGGCAAACAGTGGAAGATGGTCGAAGCGCTTGGGCCCCTGCTATCTCCAAGACCCAGAAGCTCTTGGCTTCAGCCTGTTCCAGCTCAGGTTGCTGTGGCCATTTGGGAAGTGAACCAGTGGATTGAACCCCTCTCTCTCTCCCTCACCCTCTCTTTAACTCTACCTTTCAAAGAAATAAAATCTTTTTTTAAAGAAGTTCAACAGTAAGATACTGCAATGCCAACTACTCAAGTTTTTAACTTCCTCCAAACTTTCCACCAAAAAAAAAACAGTAGTATGTCTAAATACTTGAAAAACAGCACAGTGAGTAAATACTTCTAGAAATGGAAAATGATTTAAAAAAAAAAAACTAATTGTATTGGCCAAGAAAGTTATTTTGCTAATCTATAAATCAAGGAGAGCTTCTTTAAAAAAAAGGCTACGAATTGGATTTAGAAGCAGACATAAAAAGGCAGACAATATGAAAAATTAATATATAAGAGCTTGAAAAGCAGGTTATTTATATGAAGTAATGGGAAAATTAGGTCAACGTGATAGTAACTTGTATTTTCCAGAACTTTCCATGTGCATGTATCATCTTTCCAACCTTGAGGACAGAAACTATGCCTTACACTTCTTTATATAATGCATTTATTAAGCATGGTGTTTTGTACTTACTTATGATTTAAGTGCTTTTTAAATGATAGACTACAACTAAATGTCCCTGAACCAACTACTATATTCATGAATCAAATTTTAATCTGACAGATGCTTAAATGAAGTGCTAATTTGAAGTGCTTCACATATCAAAAAGCTACTTCAAAGTCAAAAGATCAGCTTTTTAAAGAAAAAGTATAGGACAATTTGTTATTTTTCAAGGACAAAAAGAGAAATCACCTCATCATAGGCTAAAATTAGAGCCTATGTTGTTGTGACAAATGCATATCCTGATATGTTCACTATTAATAGCAGCTACCATTTATTAAGACTGTCCCTGTGCTAAGGACTTCACATGTATCAGCTCATTTCATTCATTTAAGAAACGTTAGAATCCACGACATCAGACCAAACAAAAGACAGTGACAAAGGCTACCTCTTCTCAGAGCGCGCTGCATTCTTCAGTTATTCTGCACAGCACAGTTTTTAGAGTTTATCAATACCAGTTTCACTCATGAATTAAGGAAACTGGTTTATAGTTACTTCTAAGTGCATTGTTTTCTGAATGTAATTATAAAATATTCTTAAGGGTAATCTATAAACTTTACTTCATAAAAATTATTTTAACTTATTATTAGTTGACATTTAAATCAAATATTTTCTAACAAGATCCATGTTATATTCCACAAGGGAAAAAACCAAAACTTTCCATTAAGACTCTTTAGAGTAAGAGCCAGCGAATTTTTCATAAAGGGCCA